GTTTAGCATTTGATTTGCATCACATTTTGTTGAAGGAATGTGAATAAAATTGAGTGACGAGTCTAATTCAGATGGACATCTTATACGATATACATGTGGTGGACGCTGATCTTAACAAAGTCACTGCTCACGCCTCTCCGCTAAAGTGTCATAGGCAAGTCTTCAATGTTGTAATTGTGGAAAACTGTTAAAATCAATATCCTCTTAGACTGTGCTGGAAGAGTTCGCTTAGAGTAAGTGCCGCTCCTGGAACAGAAACATTTGAAAACATGGCTTCTGAAGAATGTCACAGCATTGAAGGAACAGAAGTAACTGATTTCTTGCGACAAATGAATCAGTATTCAGTAAGTTCTCAATGCCAGTGCTCGGAGATTTACAATCTTTAGTTACAACAAGTATTGAACTAATAATAATACTAAACTGCGAGAATCATAAATTACTTGGTTCAATTATTGGGACATTACAACGTGCTTATGTTTTTTACAGCGTGCTGACTAGACACTTGAAGAGGAGCAGCGACAAGTTTATTGGCTTTCCGCTTTGGGTGCTGATATGAAATGCCAAAACATTCGTTGTCCCACCACTACGACAACGAACAAATCAAGTGGTCAAAAATCAGTGGATTAACATTTTTCGTGTAGCAAACTATGCATGAACACAATTTATCTTTAAGTTACAGTGAGAGAGAGAGCCATATGACGACGCTTCAATTTTCTGGTGAGAGGAAAAAAATTGCTAATTTCTCACTCAGGGGAGCATAGAACAACATAAGCGGAAGTTATCGCTAAGTTTGAGGAAAATATTAAAGTCTTCTGCAAATATATGACGTCTCAAGTTTCTTCGTTATGCCGAATATCGAATAAGTAAAATATATTATTAGCTGTGATCGTCCCAATACTTGCAAGTAACTAGGGGAGAAAGTGGTAAAAGCTTGAATAAGAGTGTAACTTCTAGTCCAGAGAGATTAGACCATCCGAATTGTAGGAAATGAAAAGTTTTCTTGGTTAGATAGTGCATATAGTAACATGCATATGAAAAGTGATTGCAGGTTGAGAAGCACAATTCTGCCTATGAACTGGTCGTAGAAACAGGGATTCACGAAAACACTGAAGAAGCATTTATCACTCTCACTGCTCAAGATATCGCCAAGGATGGAGCGCAATCTCGTACAAAAACTTTCAGGTACGCGCTATAAGATGCTAATAGTATTGGTTGTCGTAAGTGAGGAGTTGTTTTCAGTACTGGAAATTCTAATGGAACATTTCGTATACCTCTTTTGCCTGATTCCGTCTATGCTGTTCAATATCAGTACACAAAAGTGAAACCGTTTCACTATACAAGCGAGGAGCACTTTCTCGTGGAGACAACTTCAGATTCCGATAATCTCACAGAGTCATCGAACCCGCTTGTGGAAGCGTATTTTGAGGTTGAGAATCATACGCTGAGCAAGGACGAAATAATCCAGATCCCCACTGTTAGCCTCTTTCGCGGTGAAGCCTATTCGACTGCTGATATAACGATAACCATGGACCCTCTTTGCGAAGAGACGAACATTTCCAGTGTAACGTTTAGCAATGAACAACCAAGCGCAAAATTAGATCTGATGACCGCAGTTTGCTCGAACTTTCCACAAGCGGACTTCTGTAACGAGACAGACGT